CACAGCTAGCCACTAGATTAAACATAGAGGCCAGGCAGTGGTGGCTCACACCCTTAATCTTAGCACTGGGTGGCAGAGATCTGTCTGGATCTCTGTGAGTTCAAGGATACCCTAGACTCTATGAGATTAACTTAGTCTAAGAAAGAAATGGAGCCAGGCAGTGATGGCTCACACCTTTAATACCAGTATTAGGGAGTCACACACCTTTAATTCTGGGAGGAGAGAGGCATAAAAGGCGGGAGGAGACAGGAACTCAGTCCTTTGAGCTGAGGACTCAGAGGCATCGAGTCTGAGGATTCCTGGAGACAGACTCTTCCCAAATCAGCTGAGGAGTTGGTGAGGTAAGAAGTGACTGTGGTTTGTTTCTTTGATCTTTCAGCTTTTGCCATGATATCTGGCTCTGGGATTTAATTAAGACCCAGATTTTATATGATTATTTTATTTTTTATTTTTTAAGATTCTATATTTTATATATTTATATTTTACTTTTAGTAAGATTAGGATTCTTGCTACACAAAATCCCTGTTCTCTGAAGCCCACAATGGAAGGACTCTCCTTGGCTCCACTGGCTGCTCTTGGATGGCCATGCCAGCTCTCCCTAATTCAAGCATCCTGCATTATTAAGGGACCTGGTCCTAGGAAATCCCTCTCAGGCTATATCTCTTTATGGAACCTAGAAAAATCTATATTATTTAAAACACAGGTTTAATACCCAGGGATACAAGGAAAGAAAAGAACATGGAGTGACTGCAGAGCTGCCTGACACCCAAGTCAATCTTTCAAAATTGTTTTGTTTGTTGACATTTCTTTTCTTTAACTTACACATGGGCTCATGTGCCCAGGGTGGCAAAATACTTGCTAATTTGCTAAGGATAATCCTGAACACTTGCCTTCACTAGAAATATTCAGACTTCTCTGGGACCTGCTATGAAGTCTAGGTTGTTTTGTAACTCATTGTAAAACCCCTGAGTCAGCTTTACAAATAATGGTGCTACAAATCCTGGCTTTTCTTTTGTTGTCTTTTGCAAATTGCAACATGGAAAACTGACTGACTTTGCTAATCAGAAAGGGATCTCTAGTGAAGGAGAGGGACTTAGGAGAAATATAACTGACTTCAAGCATACCTTGTGATCTTTCAGCAGAGTGAACAGTGAGAAGCAGTGACTAGTGAATGATCGAAGAATTGGTGTATAATCTTACCCCACCTTCTGAATAGATCTGTAGTTGTAGGGGGAGTGTCAAAGCAATTGCCATAACTGACTCAGTTGACAGCTTATACAACATGTTGTGAGTCTGGTCTGGCTCCATGTCCCACTGCTGACTAGCTCCTCTTGGCTCCTGGGTGAGCTAATCTCACAGCCTGGTCCTTATCACTACCACATCTGCAATTACCAATAATGTCTTTTTGTATTACAAAGGCCCAGGTCCCCTGAATTTGCATCAAATCTGTTACTGTCCCTCTGTGGTGGAACACTTGCAGTGTTCATTTGTAGCTCAGGCTTCTGTTGCTTCCACAGCACAGGTATAGAATGTAATAAAACAATTCTCAACAAACTTTTTCAAAAGGGAAGTTCTGTCTTCCCAAATGGGCGTGGCTGTATTCTAGTGTTGCTTGAAATTAGCTATATAAAAGTGATTGATCCAAAGCAGGCTGCTGATCCTCCAGCCTCCTTCTCTTAGTCTGAAATTCACTACATACATACACTAAAGCAATAGACACAAAATAAAAAACACACATATATGAGCATATCAACACATGTACCAAATATTGAGTCAATCAATGCATAATCTCTTCAATTTCTCCTTAACTTTATGGTTTTGATTTCACACAAGGTGCTTTGATTCAATCAAGCTACACTAGGAAAAACAAACATAAAACAGATTAAGACAATAGAGATTGCAATCATATGGAATCATGTTCTTGGAAGGTGAGGCTACATAGAGAGAGTATGAGGTAAACAGTATAAAAAGGATTATAAAATGATCAGAGGAGCCCTCAGAGTCCTGGAGTCTGGTGTCACTCACTGCCTGGACCTGCTAGAAACAGGAGCTCTGTCACAATTTTCCTCGATCAGGAGGCCACTTGCTTTCTTGGAAGGCCTTATCAGCAATTCAACTACACATCAAGATTCTATATTTAGCCGGGCCAATGATTGTGTATTGGGATAAAATCACACAACCAGTTTTTCTACATCAAGATATTTTATATTAAATTTTGTTTGAGGTCCTTTAAACTGGATTGGCCTGAAATACACTACATTACTGAAAACAATAAAAGGTACAGCCTTTGTTTTCTCACAGGGTCCATGGAATAGTCTACAACCAGCTGAGGCTTCTAATCTGAGGGATATAGAATGAACCTAAGCACTGTGAGTTCTTTAGTCCATTCACTTTATTCTTCAAAGTCCATTCTATCAACACAGCTTCTTTTCTGTTCTCATTCTTAGCTCTTCACAGTCCCTTCTGCTCTCAGTCTTTTCTGCTGTTCTCTCATCTCTATCTAGTTCTTTCCACCTCTGTTCTCATCTTTTTTCTTCTAAATCTCCAAGGGCTCTGAGAGAACCAGTGCATGTACACAAGCAGTAATTCTTTGGCAAAGCCATTCAAGGCTTGAAGTTTTCAGGGTCAAAGAGAGAAGCGATAAGTATCCACACATAAAGCAACAGTTGTCAGCTTGTCCAATTCCACCCAAAAATGGGGAGTGACTAAAGGGGAGTTCTATGGTAAGGTTAACTATAGGATAAGATCAATTAAGGAATCCTAAAAAGTAATTTATGTGCTCAAAAAGCATAATCTAGAAGTGGTTAGGTAAAATGTTAGGAGTCTATCTGTCAGTATAATTCACTAGTAAAGTAATACTTTATAGTACAAGAAACAAAGCTTGGCACCTATCATCAGCCTAGCCTTGTTAGAAATCTCCTTATGTCAGAGTGAAATAACTACCTTAACTCAGTAACCAGCAAGTGTTTAAAACATCATCCCCGGAATGTGAACATTAAATCTCTTCAGTTAGGGTCTTGTGTAAATAAACTTGGGTGAAGGTAAGGAGTTGAGGATTTAATTGCTAGTGGCTGTTTTCTTTAGTCTGTAAGTGAGATGAGCTAATGCTTATCTCTGTGCAGTTTTGTTCTTGGAAAAAGGTAGGTATCTTTGCTGAAATACTTTTGTCTGGAGAATGGCCCTGGCCAGATTCATATTAATGAAAAATAAACACAGATGGGTACTGTTATCCAATTACCTCAAATGTATAGGGCGAGTTGTGCCCAAGATGAGATTCAATCATGAGATTACCTGTGCACATAACATGGAAATGCTCAGGAAATGGTGAGAATCATAGATATTATTATTGCATAAGAAGTTTACAAGAAACAGCCAGTTCATTCAAAAGGCAGTAATTTCATAACTCCTTACATGATTGTTTCCTCTAACAGAACTCTTATTTCAGATAGGTTGACTTTTTGAACTCTAGTTGTCACTGCTGTATACTCGCATGGAATTTTGCTATCAGTGGCTCTCAGTACTATTGGGGTATTTAATAAGGCAACTCCATGTAGTGAAAAGGGAGATTTATTCGAAGGGGTGAATTACAACAAGTAAAGGGATAGGTTACAGGATCCAGGAGAGGTGAAATGCAGTCCAGCGGTGTTCTCAAGTGAACTCTGCTCAGTCTACCATCCAACATCCAAGATTACCAGGAAGCAAGACTGCTGGCACATCTGGACCTTGGGTCTTAAGGACTCGCATCTCAGCCCTGCATCAGAGGCAGGCCATTGTTAGGCCTGACAGTTACCAGAAGCCTCAATAGGGGTAGTACATCCAGGTCAAAGCTGGAACAGCTACCCACTACTCAATACTACATAGCTTAGATTTTCCTGGAACCCAAGTGATTCCTTCCTAACAGTGTTGTCATTATAGGAAACTGCTCTCATGCCAGTCTTCTACTCAGTGTTTTAAGGGGAGAGTGTACTAGCCAGACATGGGAGATTTAGTAAAGAACACTGCCAGTGACAGCAGGATTATGGTCAGGGTCACATGTCTGGGAAGCATAATGGTTTACATTCAACTTTAGAAACATAGGCAATTCCACTGAATCCTCCTCTGTGTGCAAAAACCATACCTTAAAAAAATAAACTACATTTTCCATACTGTCTTAGCCAAGGTCATGGCCAGCCTTGTAAATAGGGTTGATTAGCAGCTAGTCTCAGTTTACCTGAGTTAAAGCTTCTATGTCAACATTTCATATCTACACCATCCAGCACAGCTTGAAATGTCACCAGATCAGTTGATATATACACTCCTATGTGCATGTAAACAGAGAAAATGAATCAATGAGCTATTCCAATTCTCAAAATATTTTTGTTTTCACACATAGTGTTATGACTCAGTCAGTAAAGACTAAGTAAAAATAATGAAAAGAAGATTTAGTGTATGAACAATTCACTTCCTAATCAGAAAGAAGTATTTCCTTGGGATATGGGGCCAAAGAGGGAAGGTATGAAAAGAAAAGAACATAAAAGGATATAGGAGGTCCATATGTGAATTGCTTGTGAGATCTCCTCAGTCCTACCATGTACACTGAACACATGGGATGGAGAACATGTGTTTGTTCTACAAGTGACCTTGACACTCTTTCATAAGGAATTTGAAAGGGGATCAGTCTCAATTTGTCACAAAAGCCTTGTCTGATTGATTGCTTTTGAATAAACTTTCCCAAGGGTAAAGAGTTTCAGAGGATCAGAGCTTGAGACCTGGTGGGACAATGGTTAATTTGTGCCTGTTCCAGTTCTTCTGTGATGATTCATATGCTGAAGGGGATGAGGATTTGAGATTACCAGATGTTATAAGTAGTTACACTGAGTTCTTCACTGTTACTAGATCAGGAACTATGGCCATGTGGAGGGGGTTCCTGTGATGGGTCAGACATACAAATCCCTAAGATGTTGTATAAATATATGACTCCTGAATGTTTTACTGGGTCCTTTTGTCTGAAGAGACATCAAATGAGCCTTGAGGCCCCATCCACACTCCTGGGACTGGCAGTGAAGAGTCTGCTGAGGCATGAGGCCTTGGCCATCTCAGTTCTGCAGCAGCTCCCCACGGAGCTCTTCCCATCCCTGTTCAAGGAGGTCTTCAAGAGCAGACATATGAAGATACTGACAGCGATGGTGGCAGTATGGCCCTTCTCCTGCCTCCCTGTCGGGGCACTGATGCAGATTCCTGATGTGGTGATATTACAAGCTGTGCTGGATGGTGTAGACATGCTGTTGAAACAGCAGGTTCACCTGAGGTAAGGTCAAAGGTGAATAGAATAGGAGTTACCGGGTAACTGGTAAGGGAATTCTGGAGTCAAGAACATGGGGACAGTGGCCAACTACAGTCGTCTGATATTCTCAGCTTTCAAGTCTGTAGAGCCTCTATTTAAAATTTAGCTACTAATGTAATCTTTCAGAAGTGCAGGGCATGTCAATGTCGATGTACTCATAGGATTTTTCTTCTCTGTCCTCTCCCCCAGGTAATAAAAAAGGAATTCAACAGTAACATAAAGGAGATGCAGAACAAGTACTCAGATGTAGCTCATGCAGGGGGCCCTTGCCTGACAGGTGTTGCTAACTCTATTGTACCCCTCTTCTTTCATTGTCACACTGCAACTTTTTCTCTCACAGAAGGTCGAAGCTTCGAGTCCTGGACCTGAAAAAAGTGCACCATGTCTTCTGGGATGTATGACCTGGCATAGAATGTGGAGAGAGCTCAACAGGGACATTGAGTAAGGAGCAAAAGGAGAATGACCTACCTAGGTATGCCCTGAGGCAGCGTTTGAAGGTGGTCACTGATTTTTACTTAAAAGTTGCCCTGGATAGAGAGCAAGCATACTTGTTGCAGTGGGCCCAGCAGCAACATGGTGCTGTGCAATTGTGCTGTTTGAAGATGATAATCTGTAATACTCCTGAGCAGGTTTTCATGATGGTTTTCAATACTTTCAAGCCATACTACATTGAGGAAATGTGTTTATCCATACGCTGGACTCCAAGAGTGCTGAGTCGTTTTGCACATTGCTTTGGCCAGATGAGAAATTTGTTCAAACTCCATCTAGCACGCATTTCAGTTCACACCAACAAAGCTATTTATACCTTGGAAGATGTAAAGAAGTATACTGCTAGGTTCATTGCTCAAATCTCCAAACTCAAATGTCTCCAGGAGCTCATCGTCAATGATTCCTACTTTTCCAGTGAGCACATGAAGCAGTTGTTCAGGTAAGGAAGGAGAGAGAGCTGTTTTGGCTACCACAGCAAACTTTCCTATGCTACATTAGAGATTAGTGAGCACCTGAGTTCAGCCAGTCACTGTGACTTTCACAGCTATTTGTTCATCACAATATCTGAGAATGGTCTGGATACCACATTAACTGGGTCAGATGTACAGTTGCTTCACTGACCACTCACCAATAAAATGCTAATATGTTTTTACAGATTTTGAAGAGAGCTTTCTTAGTAATAGGCACACTGTGTGGCACACATAGCATCTTAATGTGTTTTATGTATTCTTCTTTGGGGTCCAGAAAACCCTGATGGGAGGGAACAGGACAGAGTAGTGGGTCCTTGGGCATTGAGGTACCATACATGCAGAGTTTCCCTTGGGATCTCTGTCCTTATATCTTTGTGAACAAGAGCTATCTTGTTCCCATGTAGAACCTCTGTCAGCTTTTAACTCACAATGGAGGGACAGATGTTGTGATCATAGTTTTGCTTAGTAGAAACAAAATTGGAGGTAAATGGCAGAATGTCGACTTCAGGGACTGATGCAGAAAAGGGGGACATGGGCTGTGCAGGGAAGGTGGAACTGTAGTGATTTCTGCAAGACACAGGCCAAGACATTGTCAGAACCATTCAGGATTAGTCCTCCTTTAGCCTTCCCTTCTAGGTTATAATTGCCATCTCTGGTTCTCTGGCACATTGGGAATGAGAAGCTGCATCGCTCAGCTCTGAGCCTAGCAAATGTGTTGGTGATGGACTTTAGAAGGCAATGTGGTGACTCTAGTGTGGAGCCACCAACAGGCTGTGTGTTGGGTGTTCAGCTCCATATAAGAACACAGTGACCTTATTTTGTGGAACCCTGTGCTGGCTAACTGTACATCAAATTGACACAGGCTAAGGTCACTTGAGAGATAGATCTGCAAAATCAGAAAATGTCTTAAGATACTGGTCTATAGGCCAGCCTGTGTAGCAATTTTTGTTATTATTGATTGATGTCTGAGGGCCCTAACTATTGTGAATGTTGCCTTCCCTGGGCTGGTTGTCTTTTATTTTCCATAATGTAGGCTCAATAAGATATGGAGAACAAGCCAATAATCAGCATTTCTGCATGGCCTCTCTGAATATTTCCTGCTTCCAGGTTGTTGCCCTGTTTGAATTCCTGTTCTGTGTTCCTTCAGTGATCGATTATGGATTTGTATTTTTAATCGTAAGGCCAATAAATCCTTTACTCTCCCAATTGCTTTGGGTCATGGTGTTTTATCATAAAAATAGTAAAAGAAACTAAGACATTGGCTCTGTAGTAGTGTCAAAACTAAAATGCCCTCCCAGACCATGAGACAGAACTAAACTCTTGTTCTTTCCTTAGATGCCTGAAGACCCCCTTGGAGTCTCTGTCAATCAAACTGCGCAAGTGCTCACCTTTAGGCTTGAAGCACCTATCTGAGTGTCAGTGGCTTTTTGAGCTAAAGCACCTGAACCTCTTTGGTGTTTCATTATTCAACTTTTGTCCCACAGCTCGGCAAGTTCTCCTCAAGAGTGTAGCTGACACTTTGCAAACTCTGCAGATAAGCAACTGCTGTATCAGAGACTCTCAACACAGTGCCCTCCTCCCTGTTCTGAGCCAGTGCCTCCAGCTAACACATGTAAATTTCTATGACACTGTCATTTCCATATCTGCCCTGAAGGACCTTCTGCAAAGCTTGGCCAATCTAAGCAAGATAACTGAGGAGCATTACCCTGCCCCATTAGAGTGCTATGATGACCAGGGCCATGTCTTAGTCAACAAATTTGCAAATGTGTGTCTTGATCTTCTGAATATACTCAGAGTCAAAAGACAGCCCAAAGTTATTGACTTTGCCACAAACATCTGCCGCAAATGTTTCCAGCGCTGTGTCTTTGATGGGAAGACCAGACTTTGTCCTTGTTTGTCATAAACAGGAATTGTTTGAACCAAGAAACTGAGAAATGAAAGTCTCAGAAAAAGAACTTTCAGTTAGGTGTTCAAGAACCTTTTGTTTCAGACACTGATACATCAGGAAAAAAAATTGTTATTCATTGGAATCAATTATATTGCATGACTTGATGAAGAATAATATGACCATGTGGACAGGTGTCTTGTAGAATCATTAAAACAGACCTGCATCCTCAAGTGTGCTTCTGTCAGGATGTGGTTACCAGTGGCTTTACCCTACATTGTAGTTGTAAATTTACGGATGCTTTTCTCTGATGCCCTGATCAGTCATTGAACTCATGTTTTCATACAAATTCAGGATGTTACCTTATCTAGTGTGACCAAGGGGATTGTATTCCATGACTTGTTATATCAAAATGAACAGAAGTCATTTATCTCATTGTTTTCCCCTCTTTACCTTCTATCGCTTGGGTATTTGGTTTATGTTCACACAATTTTTAAAATGAACTTATTCAGTACAGACTCCTTCTCCTATGAAGAAGGTTTTGGAGAATGCAGGGAATTACAACCCTGAGTAGTCAGATAGGAGGCGTTGTACACACATCTAAGTGCTGAGGCAAAAGTGCTCACATTGAATCTAACTGTACCTGAGATCTTCATGCGAAATATTCAGATATAAGGTATGCCTTCATGTTCTTAATGGAGTACCCACACTATTTCCATTTCTTTTTCACTATAGCATATAACAATAAATTAGTTTTAAATTATACTCTTTGGGTTTCATTAATAATACACACAAGTTGTCTTTTACTAAATATCACTTTACTGCACTCTAACACAACTTAATGGACTAACTTGTTTTTTAAAAAATGTGCACTAGATATGGATCTATTTTCATTCTTATACATGTTGACATCCAGTTATACCAGCAACATATATTGGAGAAAAGTTCTTATTCCCACTGTATAATTTTGACATCTTTGAGATAGAATTAGGTGTCTATATCATGTGTGGAATTATATATGGATCCTTGATTAAATTCCATTGATCTACCTTTCTCTCCTTGTACCAATAATATATGTTTTTTTAATTACTATAGCTCTGTATCACAGCTGGAAATTGGGGATGGTGATACCTCCAAAATTTCTATTACCATACAAGATTTTTTCAACTATCTTCTGTGTTCTCTTTTTCCATATGAAGTTGAGTAAATGGGTTTTTTTTTTTTGAGGCATTGCTGTAAATTGCCTTTATTATGTTTAGGTATATTCCTTCTATTCCTGATCTCTCCAGTACTTTTATCATGATGAGTTATTGGATTCTGTCCAAGAATTTTCAGCATCTAATTAAATGATCATGTGGGTTTTTTTTCTTTCAGTTTGTTTATATGATGTATTACATTGACAGATTTTTGTATGTTGAAACATCCCTGCTTCTCTGGGATGAAGCCTACTTGATCATGGTAGGTAATTTTTTGATGTGTTCTTGGAATCAGTTTGTCAGTATTTTATTAATTATTTTTGCATCAATGTTCATGATAGAGATTGGTCAATAATTATCTTTCTTTGTTGCATCTTTGAGTGGTTTGTGTATCAGGGAGATTGTAGCCTCATAAAAAGTGTTTGGTAATGATCCTTCTGTTTGTACTGTGTGGAACAATTTGAAGAGTATCAGTATTAAATCTTCTTTGAAATTCTGGTAGAATTCTACACTGAAACCGTCTGGCCTTGGACTTTTTTTTTTAAATCTTGTCTTGATTAATTTTGGGTATATGATATCAATCCAGAAAATTGTTCATTTCTTTTGATTTTCCAATTTTGTGGAGTACAGCTTTTTGAAGTATGACCTGATGGTTCTCTGGTTACCTTGTTGTCAATTCTTATGTCTCCCTTTTCATTTCTGATTTTGTTAATTTGTGTATCGTCTCTCTGCCTTTTAGGTAGTTTGGATAAGGGTTTGTCTAACTTGTTGACTTTATCAACGAACTAGTTCTTTGTTTTATTGATTCTTTTTACTGTTCTCTTTCTATTTTATTGATTTCAGACCTCAATTTGATTATTTCCTGGCATCTACTCATCCTGGGTATGTTTTCTTCTTTTTTTCTATGACTTTCAGGTGTGTTGTTAAGTCACCAGTGTGAGATTTCTCCAACTTCTTTATGTGGGCATTTAGAGCTATGAATTTTCCTCTTAGCACTGCTTTCATAGTGTCCCATAAGTTTGGGTATGTTGTACATTCATTTTCATTGAATTCTCAGAAATCTTTGCTTTCTTTCTTTATTTTGTCCTCGACCCAGTGTTTATTTAGTTGAGCATTATTCAGTTTCTATGAGTTTGTAGGCTCTGTAATTTGTGTTGTTTTTGAATTCTAACTTTAAGGCATAGTGGTACGATAAAATAGAAGAGGTTATTCCAATTTTTTTGTATCTGCTGAGATTTACTTTGTGACCAAGTATGTGGTCAGTTATAGAGAAGGTTCCATAGGTTGCTGAGAAGAAGGTATATTCTCTTTGTCTGGGTGGAATGTTCTGTGCACATCTATTCTGTCCGTTTGAGTCACAACATTTGTTATATCTTTTATTTCTCTATTAAGTTCTTGGCTAGCAGACCATTTTATTGGAGAATGTGAGGTGTTGAAGTCTCCCACTCTTAGTGTTTGGTGTTCGATATGTGATTTAACTTTTATTAATGTTCAGCATTGAGACTTCATCTTGGTGGATTTTTCCTGTGATGAATATGTAATGGTCATCCTTATCTCTTTTGATTAATTTTAGTTTGAAGTTTATTTTATTAGATATTAGTATAGCTATACCAGCTTGCTTCTTATGGCCACAAATGGAAAGTCTTTTCTAAGCCTTTTATTCTGAAGTAGTGTCTGTCTTTGAAGTTGAGGTATTTTTCTTGTATGCAGCAGAAGGATAGATCCTGTTTTTGTATCCATTCTGTTAGCCTGTGTCTTTTTATAGGCAAATTGAGTACATTGATATTAAGGGATATCAATGACCACGAATGGTTAATTCCTGTTATCTTTTGGTGATAGTGAGTGTGTATTTCCCTTTATGGGATTTGCTACCATGGGGTCATCTATTGCCTGTGTTTTTGTGGGTGCATCTACCTTCCTTAGTTTGGATTTTTCTTTTTAGAGCTTTCTATATGGCTGGATTTGTGGATAAAGATTATTTAAATTTGGTTTTGTCTTGGAATATCTTGTACACTCCATCTATGGTGTTTGAAAGTCTTGCTGAGAATAGTAGTGTAGTGGTATTTGCTCTGCCCATGAGCTTGAGCTACAGGACCCAGAGTTGAAGGTGCTTTTTGTTGTTGTACATGATGTCTTAAAAGGAAATGGAGAAGGGTCACTTGCCCTTTATCCTGCGGCCTGCCTGTGAGGTGGATTTGTTCCCAGTCGGATCAGAGGATGACTTCAGCTGTCTACTCTGTTCTGTATTCCTGAGTATATTTCCTCAATAAACTTTCCTAATACTTCTTAAACAGACTCCTGTGGATTTATTGCTTTAAGTGACATTCACATGACAAAAAGACCCCACACTCCCTATGACTCCTACCCACAGCCTCTGTGGCAGTGGTGGCAGGATTCCTTAGAAGCTCGTGTGCTTGCTGCAAGCCTGCCTCATTATCACCTTTAAGCATATGCTAGCTGCTTGGTCCCAACCATGTAGATCTGAGCCCCAAACTCCCCTGGGGCTACTCAGGCGATCAAACCCTAACACACGTGGGCAGCTGCTGATGAGTTTCTCCACTCTGCAGAGTCCATGTGAACCTCTTGGAAACTGCTTGACCCCTACTCAGCCTGCATACAGAGGCTGTGCATGGAACCTGTAGATGAGGTGGCTCACATGGCAGCAGTTCTTATAACCACTGCCAAAAGCACCTGTGTTCTCTGACAGATAAAGCATGGTGTCAGAGAGAAAGGTGCCTGATTTAGGTGCCTTTCTAATTCTGTACTTGCAGCAGCTGGGTTGGGTCATAGACCCCACTGCCTGGTTAGAGACTACCAGCAGACTATCCTGTTCCTTCTAAAATTGTTCAGTGTAGCTGCTGCCAACTCCATCTTTTGAAACTCCTGCTGCCTCTTGCTCCTGCTGCTGCCAACATTTTGTGTGCTGCCATTGCCATTTTGTGTGCAGCCACTGCTCAGTGCATGCATGCAGCCTGTCCTACAGAGTGTCTGCAGGTGTCCCAGGCAGCACTTCTAATTGTTTGTTTGGTGTATTGTCTCCTCTGTAGTCATCCTGGCAGCTTTGCCTAGTACTCACAGGTACCAGGTGAGGGGTTCCTGGGTGAGTGCTTAATTCACAGGAGCCCATTCTGGGAGCCTGAGTCAGCTCACAGGAGACCTATTTTGGTGTAACACCTACCGGCCAAGCAATGATACTCTACATTAAAAAATCATCGAACCAACCAGCCATTCACCTAACCTGGTTAATTGCACCTGGAACATCTGGACATATGACAATCTTTTGAGGATTTTATCTGAGGTAAATTACTTGATAATTTTACACTTTAAACTGATTAATAAATAAACAAACTAATAAAAATTTTCTTTACAAATTTTGAATACTTCTCAAAAAGGCAAACAATTTTACCCCTCAGGAATTTAAAAACTTTTTTATTTGTACTATGAATGAAATATTGCAGGACATATACAACCTTCCTGGCTCATACATAATGTTCACCATAATAGGAATTAACATAGTGATTCATCTCATATCTTTGAAAAAATTGGGTTAATAATAACAGCGAAAATGAGATATTAATGGAACTGATACAGGACTTAAACAAAAAGATTCTTTCTTTGGAATTTGCTAATTTACCACAGGTACTTCAGTCTGTTAATAATAACTGAACAACCAGATTTAATTCTGTACAAAAGGCAGAATTGTATGCCATTCTTATGGTAATAATGGACTTCACAGAAACTCTTAATATACTTACTGACATATTGAAACTGCTGAATTTATTCCTGATAACATAGAATTAACTTCCTAGATATACAATTACA